GTTAAAGCTTCTCAAATTGGTTCGGGCAAGTCGTTAAATGCAATCAATAGAAATATTTGCATAAAAATATGACAATCATGGCTCTTCATTCTATGGAACTCACTACCACCCTTAACACAATTTCAAATGTTTGATTCATAACCGTCAGGCATTCTTAGATTCCTAATCCAATTGCACATTTTTACATTAGTTAAGCTATAGGAGGTCTTTGACAAGAGTAGTTTTCCTCTTTCATCTTCATATGTATGAAGCTCCGAATGGTTGTAATAAAGTTCAAAATCCTTTCTAGCCTAGAAGTTATCTTTATTTTTTCCTTTTATATCCATAATTGTATTCAATACATTTTCGGATACATTATTTTCAATGTACATCACATCTGAATTATGCCTTATGAGATTTGTATTCCAGTAAGTCAACTCCTAGAAAATGCCCCTCTTTACCCAATTATGGCTATGACCGAAACCTTCGATTTCTTTTCTTTTATCGTCTCTGCCACTTGCAATGGGTGGGAGGTTCTCCACTATACTTTGCAAGTCTTCACTAGTTAGCCTATGTTGTGCCATATCCTTCTCAACTCTACCTTTATAAAATTTGTCTCTTCATTTTCAAATACATGGTCGGGTGGTAGGGATTGATAGTAACAATCATAAGAAGATTTTTTTTCCCTCTATTTTTAAGCCTGAAAGATTTAGTTTGACCCATACTGTATGGACAAAACTTTAGGTCTTGCATACTTCATCCACATAACATGCCTAATAGTCCACATCAATGTAGCTTTCAACTAAAAATTCTACTTCATTTGTATGTCAATGTTTCAATAACTTCACCCTAAAGCATTTTTAGTTCATTAATGAAAAAATGCAAATAAATATCAAGGTTTTTCCCTAGGCTCTTTGGTCCTGGGATAACCATACTCAAAAAGAAGTTATCTTGTTGTTTACACATAAATAGCGGACAATTTACAAATTAATTATTACTAGCCAACATGAGTATTGCACATTTGACATGCTAAAAGTGTTCAACCCATCCGCACATAAACCAAGGCATACAATACATAGCTTAAGAGAAAATTAAAGAAAAGTTCTATCAAAGTACTTTCATGCCTCACTGTGTATGGGATTGATATTTCAATATAAGTTAATTTAATTATTTGAGAGCCATAACATGTGCTCTGCAATATACCTAGACATATACAATCGTTCAAGCTTAGATGTTAGAGGTAGATATCACTGTACCTTCTAAAGTACCCTACGACTAGATCGAGACATCTTCTCTTTGTATCGTCGATTAAAATACATAGGACGTTGTGTCACTCTCAGTTTCTTTATAGTACAATATGCACTCATTCATACAAGCATGGATCTTCATAAAACCAAGGCCAAGACTGGATAACAAATGTAGCTTCTAACCGGTGATCCTCTAGTATAATTTCCTTAATGACAGACAACATACAATCATAACATGCTGTAGCCATATAAAATTTAGACTTTAGATTCAAAAGTTGTTCCATAGTAGAAAGGCTAGTGTGTTTACTATAATCAAGCCACATAGGTTTGTCAGCTTCTTCCAATAGTCTAAAGAAATTTATTGCATGTTGATTTGGAGCTTGTTCCTCATAAGCACAAACATTTAGATTGATGTAATTAATGTACATTTTAGGGCCAATCACATCAATCACCATTGCTTCATGACTATCACATCAATCACCATTGCTTCATGACTATCATTTGTTGTAGCTTGTGTAGTTGAGGATTCAACCAAATCTACACCATTGAAACTGAATGTTTCTCAATGTGTGTTTCATTGTGCATCGTCCCTTGTAAATCCATTTTTTGTAAAGATGAAATTTCACATCATCTCCTTTCGAAAACCTTGTGCTATAACATATAAAATATGGACATTTGATCATATCTCCAACTCTTGTTCGAGACTTGGCAAAATTCAATGAACTCTTCAGCACCTTCAATGAATCTGCCAAAAGAAATCCATCATCTTACTGATTCGACATTCAACTATGGTCCGATGCCACAACGTTCAAGAAGTCATAGATTTTACCTTCATGAATTTTTACATGGTTAGAATTTTAAACCTGCAAAATGAATCCAATTAACTCCTTTTATAGAAAAAAACAAATTTCATAATATGGATCAGTTTTAAAATAAACAAACAGTTCAGGAAGAACCAATTTTAATTCAGATTAAAAGCCAAACTACTTCAATTCATAATTTCCATTAATAAGCAACGCTCAATCCTAGTTACATTCTTAATTAAGATTAAATATTTAACAAATTTTCAAAAAATCAAGTAACACTTTTCAATCAAGAATCTCAATTATTGATTACTTAATACTTCAAGAGAGGAATGGGTTGTGTTCAAAGTTAGACCCAATTGCAATACACTAACATGATAAATAGTAAAATCGATCAGATTACCTTGAGGTTTCATATTTATTTTCATGTAATACCTTTTTCTTATCTTCAAAGGGTGATCTCGTCTATAATAAGAAGAGAGTCCAGAAGCTAATGTTGATGACAAGTTCAGAAAACAAAGGTCTCTAGATCGAATTTATGGGATAGATTGGCTGAATGTAAAAAGAGGAGATTGAAAAATACATTGATGAATTATGGGATAGAATGATAGAAACCATTGTTTCATATTTGATTTTGATTTATTTTTAATTCTAAACAATTTACTAACAAAACAAACTGTAGGAACAGTTTACAATTAAATAAATTAATTTGAATATATTACAAACAGATATTTAGTGTACTAACAACGAATAAATTTTTAGGTAAATTTTAATTAATTTTTTATTTTCTTAAATTTCACAATCGACAATTATTACCTTGCAATCTTCATTGGTAATTTTTTATAATTTTTTTAGGAAAATATACCCATGAATTAACAACAAAATCTCAACGACGTCTATATGTTATCGATAATTCCATTGCGACGGCATTTATTTTTTAGTTATAGATTTTTTATAATATTTCGTTGGTATCCGTTAGTAATAGCATGGGATGGCTTCCATTAGTAAAAACAGTCTTTAAAGCCTCCCTTTCTAGTAATGTAGGTGTAGGAGATGATGTAGGTAATGGGGATGATAGAATGGTTAAAATAGATAAATTGAGAGACTATGAGGAGGAGGAGTTAATAGCGTTTAAGACAATATCATTGGCAAGGGCGGATTTAGGTGGTGGGGAGCCCTAGATTCACCAGGGAGATTTTTTTTTATTTTTTTTTCTGATATTAGATAGAATTTTTAGATTATATATTTAATAATTCATTGACAACAAACATATTTGGTAGATCAGTTGGTTAGTCCTTTTCTTATTGAATTTGAGGTCTTGTGTTCGAAATTCTTCAAGAGCAATACTTTTTTATAATTTTTGTATTTCAACAATTTTTACCAAAGCAAAAGCAAGGAAGTTGATTCGAACCTACTACCTTCCTTAAATATATTGATCACTTTACCATTATAATACTTATTGATTTTTAGCACATAATGTAACAAAATAATATATGTTCAATTTTATTGGTTTGATGCAGGTAGAGACATCTTAATCCGTGCTTTGTCCCTCCTCTTGATTTTCTTTTTTTTTTCCCCTCTAATCAGTTGATTTGAGAGTTTGGTCAATTAATGGTGAATGAATTTGTAGAAAAATTGACATTAGTGTCATAAGAAATCTTTCAACAAAACTTATTTAATTAATAAAAGGTTCCACTTTTCGTTCACAAAAAATCGATTGCGAAAAAGTGAAATCATACAAGCGCATAAAATTGATATAAGCACATAAATAATTTTAATTTTGTTAATATAATAATGCTTGTTTAATTAACTTTAATTGTAAACTATTGGTACTTTGTTAATATATATTACCTATTTAATTGAAAATAAATTAGGGCATTTTGCATATTTTGGAACGATTTTTTATCCAAAATGAAAGTTCGTACCTAGTTCTAATTTTAGTGGTGTATCTAGTTCTAATTCCATACGATTTTTTGAAAATTATTTAATTAAATATTAATAAACAACCCCGCTATTACGGACATTGGCCGTCGATAGTAAGCTTTCAACGCTCACGGTCTACCCTAACTGAACTCGACCCTTGGATTTGCCCCTGATCATTGGTTGAGGAGGAGCTAAAAGGTTGAGTAGGTATATTTTCAGATTAATTAAGGAAAAAGTCTACATTATAAGCATCATCATCGACTGGAATGTGACAAAAGTTATCATGAGGTGAATTTGTTGAATTTGGAGAAGAAGTAGGCTGTGAATTTTGTGAAAACCATTCATCACAGTTAGGGAAAGTAGTAATTGATAAATTTATGTGGGCATCAACATATTTTTAGATGAATAAAGAAAATGATTTTCATTAAATTCTATGCGGCAAAATATATATGCAACGACTATGTTAATTAAGACAATGATTTTTTTCATATAACGGATTATATAATAAGACCACATAAGGGTTTGTTTTACGATAAAATTTATACTTTTCTATAATTTTTAAATATGGAAAACATAGGTGATTTGTTTTTGAAATCCCACATTGAGTCAAATGATGTGTGAAATCATTCAAATGAATTCGCCACCTCCGTCATTTTGGAAGATTTTGGTTTTCCTGTCAAAATGATTCTCAACAAAAACTTGAAATTCAAGGAAACAAGATCAGAATTGTTTTTTAAAGGAAATAACCAGTATAGCGAGTAAATTCATCAATAAAAATCACATAATACTGGAATTTTGGAGAAGACAATGTTGGGGTAGGCCCCCATAAGCCAGTGTGGTTTTTTTCAAGAGGAAAATTTGAAATAGTATATCGGATCTATTGAATGAAACATCTTCTAGGTTGACAATTTGTAGATGTAACATTTTTGGTCAATCTTTTTAGCAAATTATATTGTTTTCTGATGTCCTTTAGAAAATGAGATTTGGATGTTCTAAATGAGCATGCCATATTGCTGAAGAGCCTCCTTAAGTAGTGGTGAATCCAACATCAACGTTCAGCTAGGGCGGAGGTTAACTTTGATCGTTGACCGTCGACAATCAATGATCGTAAAAGCCATGTCCTGTCGATAGTCGATCGTTTATTAAAATTAGATTAAATAATATTAAAAATTATTCAATATATATATAAATGCACTAAAATCTAGAAACTATATAGATATGAAAATATAGTTCAATACAACCCAAAATGCTAAAAAAATATATAATACTACCTTACCCTGTAATTGTAAATTTAGACAACTGAATTCTACGAGGTCGCATATTTTGAAAACATTGTAATATTGTCTCATTCTCAAGTTTTATAAAATGATCTTTTTCCATGTAAACCACCAACTTGTCATTCAACAATTCGTCTCCCATTTTGTTGCACAGATCATTCTTGACTAGATTCATAGCAGAGAATACTCTTTCAACACTTGCAATTGCCACAGGTAATATCAAAACCAATGTGATCAACCTATAAACCAATGAAAAATAACAAGAACTTCCAGTTTCAACCAACTTCTGAGCTACACAAGATATGCTTTTGAGGTTGAAGAAAGCTTCATCCATTTTCACGAGCATAAAAAATTTGTCAAGTTGAGGTATAAGTAATAAAAGCTCTTCACTATTGAAATCCAAAGGATATAACTGAGCAAGTCATACAAATTTATATACATCAAAAGCTGCAAATAAATCTCTTGGACTTAAACACGAAATGCTAGTAAAAAGCTCAGTAGTAGTTTCTAGAAAACGATCATTCAACTCTTGCGAGATTGAATCTATCACATAACAATAAAAATCAACATAAAAGCGATGATAATAAGTCACTTGCTAAGTTGCACGCCTAGGTCAACCTTTCAATACTACAATATCATTCATATTGGGCATTGAAATATGTCTATCAGCACAAAACTCAATTACCTTACTCAACAAAGTATCCCAACCATTGTCTCAAATGTTCTGCAATGCGTACTTACACAACTTCAATAACCTCATAACATTCTGAATATCCTGATTCTTTTTTCTGTAAGGCTTGTGAAAGGTAGTCTGTAATTGCAAGAATTTCAAATATGAAATGGAGACTGAACACAAATTGAAATTCTTGCATAGTGTCTATCTGTCTTACTGCCATTGATTTTTGCTCTAAATTTATGCCATCTTCTGATATATTCTCAAGAACATCTATGATCACATTAAACATAGTAATGAAGCGAGTAATTGTCTTTAGATGTGAGCCCCATCTAGTTTCACCTGGGCATGCCAAACTCATTTCTTGAAATTGACCAATTCCACCAGAAAGTTCCTTAATATTAAGCCTCTTCAGAATTTCAGAATAATAACTTGTTCGAAGAGCATCTATACGTTTACATGATACACCAACCAAATTCACAATAATAGCAAGTATGTTAAATAAATCACTAAGCATAACATTCCTATGTGCCAAGAAACAACTGTCAACTGAAGCTGATGAGCAAAGCAATGAACATACAGAGCACATGGGTTCTCTCTTAAAATTAAAGCTTTTAAGCCATTTAACTCGCCTGACATATTGCTTGCTCCATCATAACCTTGACTTCTCAGGCTAGATATGCTCAACCCATGGGTAGAAAATATTGCATCAATGACATCCTTGAGTGATTGGGCACAAGTATCAGCGATGTGGGAAATGCCTAACAAACGCTCCTTCACTTGCCCACTTTTTTCAACAAACCTCAAAACAACTGCCATTTGTTCTTTTATAGAATTATCATGAGACTCATCAACCAAAATTGAAAATAAAGAATCACCCATCTCATTGATCATAGACCTTGTCATCTCTACAGCACAACAATTAACCAAATCCTTATGGATGCTTGGTGAAGTCATTTGGTTATTTTCAGAAGCATTACTAAATAGTACTTCATTAATTTTCTTATGACGAGCTGCATACCAATTTAATAGCTCAATTAGATTTCTTTTATTAAGAGACTCTTTCGATTCATCGTGACCACGAGATGGCAATCCTTGCATCAAGAGGGATCTAGTACAGCTAGCACCGCAGTCAACCTTGTCCTATAAATTTTTTGTTGACCACTATTTTGGCTAGAAATAATATAGGAGATACTTTGCTTTTGATTCATCAAATTGGTACACTTTGCGAAAGCTTGATTATGAGCACCATCAACGATCCCGACATGATCTTTCAATGTATTATTGTGCTTCGAATCCCTAAAGTCGGTCTTAGTGAATATATGTCCACCCCCTTGGCCCCCTCTATCAGGTTTGAACAAGTAGCAATGCAAACAATAAGCCGCATCATTTTCTATACTGTACTCCAACCAATAAAATTCAAAAAACCTTTCTTTTTGAAAACACCTATTATCATTTCCTATCCGTCTTTTTGGAAAGTCATGTCCATGGGGTTGACAATGACCTTTTTCCAAATATGGCATCCTAACATCATCTCTGATATTAGGATCATATGACTCGATAAGGGGGCATTTTCTTGGATCAGATACAGGATCATCCACATTGAATTGAGCCTGAGACTTCTTTGTACTATTTAACAACTCAAGTGCTCGGCTAGAAGCAGCAGCGAAGCTAGAAGCACAACTAGAACTAGGTATAGACTTTCGTTTCTGTTGAAAAAATCGTTCCATAATCTGCAAAATGCCCCAATTTAATTTTCAATTACAATTGATTAAAAAATCAACAATTTAACAAAAAAATTCCCAAGAGTTAGAGAGCAGTGTATTAGAAAAAAATCAACAATTCAACAAAAAAATCCCCAAAAGTTAGAGAGCAGTGTATTAGAAAAATCGAACACTAAAAAATTAGTCAAAGTTGCTACGTCTCTAGTTGGTAGGTTGGCCATTTATGTCAATTTGAATACTCAAACATGTCAAAAGCAAATAAATGCTTGAAGTATTAGAAACAACAAAATTATTATTTATTAGATACGACACAAATGAAATACTACCAATTTTTTGCCCATCTTAATACTAGTTAGTGAAATTCTGTAAAATAGTCCAAATTCGATTTGTAAAAGCAAACCAAAACCACTGCTATTCAACTGAGGTCTGAGAATATATATTATAGAATATAGACTACGAAAATTCAATAATTAACAAAAGATTTTTCAACCAAACTCGGTCTCAATTAGAAACCTAACAAAGAGATGATTTCACATTTTCACTAATTCTTAACAAAATATAAGCAATTGCAAGTTCATCCACTTTTTTATCAAAAGATTTTCTCAATTCAATGGCGGATCAAAAAATGCAAGAGCACCAGACTTCAGTTACACGAGAAGTCGAGAAGAACTTAGGGAAGAAGTACTCACAAAGGGTTTGCTAATTTGATGCGAACCTCGTAGCAGCGTTGACTACGAAACTCACGACTAGATTGTTCCAAAACCTCAGAAAAGCTAAATAAAAGGTTTGGAGATTGAACCTTAAATTAATGAAACAACAAACCCAGCAAGAATGTTGCTTGAAGGACCTCTTGATTACACAATCCAATACCCGCACTCGATTTGTAGAACACCAAAAGAATAATTCTTGATAAGTTGAAAGAGTTCAATTAAGAACAAGGAATGAAAGCAATCAGTCTTTCAATTAATTCGCAAAATAATGTCTGGCCCCTTACATGGAAGAAATAAGAATAGAACTCTAAAATCCTAGAAAATATGGAAAAGATTCGTTAAATATCATAAGAATTTGACTAATAATAAAATTCTAACAACTATGGGAAAAAAAAAGCGAAAAAGGAAAATTCGCCTATCGCCTAAGCCTATGCGACAGCATGGTTCTAGGACTTGCGGTCGCATGGTTCATTCAACCTCGCCTCTGGAGTCCCCTGTCGAGGTGTATATGATCGCATGCTTCACAATGCTATTCGAAGCATCGCATTGCGATTCGGCCTGAACTTCGTCCACTAATATCTTATTGATCCAATTCACTTCGGCTCTCGACCCAAACATGAAAGTTGCCTCATTTTGCATCTCGAACATCATCCCATTAAGGGTTTCTTGAACGAGCAATCTCATCGCTTGTTTCACTTACTTTGCCCTTGTTTGCGTCATCGGTCCGCCTTCGATTTTCAACGGGTCTCGTCTCGAACTTGCCGTCTTCAAGTTTGATTGTTGGATCACATCATCACCTTTCTCTTCAAAAGGATTCATCCTCAAATCTGCACCTACATCAAAGAGAGAGAGAGAGAGAGAGAGAGATATCAGACATGTTAAAAGTTGTTGAAACATTATACTCACTTGGTAGGTCCAACTTATATGCATTATCGTTGATCCTTTCAATGACTTGAAATGGACCATCCTCCCATGGTTGCAACTTTGACTTCCTTTGTTCTGGGAAGCGTTCTTTTCTAAAATGCACCCAAACCTAATCTCTTGGTTTGAATGTCATACGCTTTCTACCCTTGTTTGTCTACGATGCAATGAGCCTGTTTTTGTTTTCAATTTGCAATTTTACCTTTTCATGTAGTGATTTTACCAATTTTGCTTTTCTTTTTCCAACTAAACTTCTACTTTGTAGGTAACGAAATTAAATCCAAAGGGGTTAGTGGATTAAAACCATAAACAACTTCAAAAGGTGAAAATGAAGTAGTAGAATGAACAGCACGATTATAAGCAAACTCGACGAACGGTAAACACTCTTCCCAATTTTTCAAGTTCTTATTAATCACTATGTGCAAGAGTTGAGTCATAGTCCCATTGAATACCTCGGTTTGTCCATCGGTTTGTGGGTGACAAGTTGTAGAAAATAGCAATTTTGTTCCTAACCCCACAAAACTCGTCAAAAATGACTCAAAAACTTCACATCCCTATCTGGCACTATACTCTTTGGAACCCCATGCAAATGCACAACCTCTTTAAAGAACAAATCAACTATATGCGTGGCATCATTGGTTTTGTGACATGGTATAAAGTGCTCCGTTTTACTAAACCTATCTACCACCACAAAAATTGAATCCCGTCCTTTCTTAGTTCTAGGTAAATCTAAAACAAAATCCATTGAAATATCAACACATGGTTCATTAGGTGTAGGTAATGGTGTGTATAATCATTGAGGTAAATACATAGACTACAAATTCTCCCAACATCAACTTCCATCTTAGACCAATAGAAATGCTCCCTTAACATCTCCAAAGTCTTCTATATCTCAAAATGTCCCATCAGTCCACCACTATTTTCCCAAAAGAAATAACCCTCATGCCTAAAGAACTTATCAATAGCCCCCTTTTCACAAGATTTATAAATATCCGAAAAATCTAAGTCAATTTCATACACACTCTTAATATGTTCAAAACCAAGCATCTAGCACTTAAAAAAGTTATCAAGGCATACCTTCGAGATAACGCATCTGCCACTACGTTTTCTTTACCTTGCTTGTACTTGATGACGTAGGGAAATGTCTCAATGAACTCCATCCATCTAGCGTGCCTTTTGTTCAACTTTCCTTGACCCCGCAAGTGCTTCAATGATTTATGATCGGTGTGAACAACCAACTCCTTTAGCCACAAGTAGTGCTATCATATCTCCAATGCCCGGACAAGTGAGTACAACTCTTTGTCATATGTTGGGTAATTCAATGCAGCTCCACTAAGCTTTTCACTGAAATAGGCTATCAGTCTCATTTCCTCATTAAAACTACTCCAATACCTATTCTTAAAACATCACACTCAATCTCGAAAGTTTTGTTAAAGTCAAGTAATGCTAAAATAGGTGTTTTACACAACCTATCCTTAATGGTACTAAATGCATGCTCATGTTCACCACCCCAATGAAAATCCATACTCTTCTTAGCAACTTCAGTGAGAGGTGCAGTGATTGTGCTAAAATCCTTTACAAACCGCCTATAAATATTAGTCAAACCATGGAAACTCCTAACCTCAGTTATAGTTTTAGGTGTAGGCCAATCTTTAATAGCTTTTATCTTTTCTTCCTCTACTTCTACCCCGTTAGCACTGGCCACAAAACCTAGAAAGACAACTTTTTCCATACAAAACGTGCATTTTTTGAAATTAGCATACAGTTGTACTTTCCTTAACACTACAAGCACACATCTCAAATGTTCCACATGCTCATTGAGATTTTTGCTATAGATTAAAATGTCATCAAAGTATACTACAACAAATTTTCCAATGAAAGCACGTAAAACATGATTCATTAAACGCATAAAAGTACTCGGTGCATTAGTGAGTCCAAATGGCATAACCAACCATTCATACAAGTCATATTTAGTTTTAAATGCAATTTTCCACTCATCACCCTCCCTCATGCGAATTTGATAGTACCTACTCTTAAGATCAATTTTGCTAAAAATACATGCACCATGCACCATGCAATTCATCCAACATATCATCTAACATAGGAATTAGGTGACGATACTTTACCGTTACATTATTGATGACTCTGCAATCTATGCACATTATCCAAGATCCATGCTTCTTGGGCACAAGCAATACTAGTACTGTACATGGACTCATGCTCTCCTTTACATAGCCCTTGCTCATCAACTCCTCTTCCTGCCTCTGAAGTTCCTTTGTCTCCTCGGGATTGTTTCGGCAAGCTGGTCGATTTGGAATGACAGCTCCAGGTATAAAGTCAATCTGGTGTTCAATGCCTCGAATGGGTGGTGGCCCACTAGGCATGTCCTCCGAAAATGAATCTTTGAATTCCTGAAATAAAGATTTAGCCAAACTAGGGAGGGGTGTGTTAGTTTCCTCAAAATTAAGGAGTGTTTCTTTATACAACAACAAAATCATTTCATTTCTTGCAACCACGGCTCTCTTCAAATAACTCCCTTTTACAAAGAAATTCGCTCGTAACTTCTCTTTTCTCTCGGAAGACTCTCTTTATTTTTTCTCTTGTGGCTCCTCTCTCTTTTTCTCTCTAGTAGCCACCTCACTATTTTCGCTCTTACTCACTATCTCACTGTTTTCTCTCTTACTCACAACCTCACTGTTGTCTCTCCTTTTCTCTAACTCTTTTACTCTTCTCTCTTCCTCATTCCTCAACTTGACTTGATCCTCATATACTTGTGTTTGTGTTAATGGCACAAGAGTAATGATCCTTCCATCCTTAATGAAACTGTAACGATTCTTGTACTCATCATGCATAGCTTTCCTATCATATTGCCAAGGTCTTCCCAACAAAATATGTTCCGCTTGCATTGGTACTACATCACACACTACCTTATCCGATAACTTCCAATTGAGAGATTAATTCACACTCTTCTATTAACCTAACTTCTCCACTTTCATTTAACCATTGCAATTTATATGGCCTAAGGTGTCTCAACAGTGTTAAATTTAATTTCTCTACAAGTGCTACGCTAGCAACATTTGTACAACTACCACCATCAATGATTACACTACATACCGTATTGTTGATGTGGCATCTGTTCTAAGTCATCCGTCTTGATGTGAGCAGTAAGAGCTCCCTTGCAAGTAGAATATCACCAATAGCATCTTCAATCTTTTCTTCTTCACTAACCTCTTCCAATGCTGGCATGTCATCATATTCACCTTCACTTTCACTCACCATCTCTCGTTGTCTATCAACACCATTGCCCTTTTGTTTGGGCATTGAGATGCGATGTGCCCCGACCCCAAGCAACTAAAACATTTGATGTCTTGACTCCTTGATGGTTGTGACTCCGATTTTGGTATTATTTTGCTAGCACCTTCATCTTTTCCCTTCTGCCAATCATTCCTACCTTTAGGTACAGCTCCATTTCGTTTGTTGTTGTTATCCCACCTCGGTTTCCAAGATGAATTAGAGCCCAAAGTACCCATTTGTGGTCTAGTTGTTCCCTTCCTCTTCAATTGCCTCTTCACCTTCATGGCTACATGCAATATATCTTCTAACTCCACATAATGTTGCAACGCCACTACATTAGCAATTTCTCAATTTAACCCGTTTAAGAACCGTGTTATGGTAGCTTTCCGATCCTCAACCACATTTGCCCTAATCATGAGTATCTCCATCTCCTTGTGATAATCCTCCACACTCTTCGACCCTTGATGCAAACTTTGCAATTTCTAATGATCTCCCTATAATAGTGGCTAGGGACAAACCATTTTCTCATCAAAGTCTTCAATTCCTTCCAAGTACTAATCAGTCTTTTCTCACACCTACGTTGTGAAGTAACCACCTGATCCCACCAAGTTATTGCATAATCAATGAATTCTAATACTGCCAACTTCACCTTCTTCTCCTCCGAGTAGCAAAAATCAACTCAACCTTTCTCTTCCACTCCAAATATGCCTCCGGATCATTTCTCCCTTTGAATTGTGGAATGGACATCTTGATATTACCCATGTTTCCATCCATCCCATCCCCATGATTATTCCTACGCCGTCTTTCTAACCTATCACCTTTATTCCTCATTCGCCCCAAATCAACATCATTAGTCTCATACTCATCCATATCACTATCATACTCGTCACGCCTTACCCTCCTAGGTTCTCGCCTACCCAATCCCCCTAACATTTGACACCTCCACTGGCTGTCCCCTGCTAAGATTAGCCACCGATGTATCCAACCTAGTCATCCAAGCCTCCTGCTTTATTCTCCAAACTTCCTATTGATCCAACCAATCCCTCACAACTACAAATGCACTCTCAAATCATTGCATCAAATCATCTGTTGCACTGTTATGATTGTCGTGTCGGCTTGAATTGGAATCTTCTCATTCAGACATCCTAAACTAAATTTTTTTTATCTGCCTCGCCAGTAATCACTCAAAAATCACACAATATGGCTTTTACCCTCTAATAAGCTCACCACTCTGTCTTTTACCGCTCGATGCTTTCTTCCAAGCTCTTCAAAGAACACAATGAACTCAAAAAAATTTTAAACCCGTGGAATTCTTACCCGAATGTGAACCAAGAATTGTGAAACAAAAAGGGACTCAAAGAAAAATTGATGGAATTGACTCAAACTTGACTGACTAAGGAAAAACTAATGTGACTCGAAAGGAATTTTAAAAGGAAAAATTTGTTGGTAGTAAAGTGCCAATGAAAAGAACAATAACGAAAAAAAATCTTTTTTTTACTATATGGAATGAACAGTAACCGTGAGCAGTAATTTTTTTTGTCGACCCTTTTTTTTGGACGTGAACAGTAACTGGCTCCCTTTTTTTAATTAGAACAATGAATTAAACTACCAACAATTTAACAATGACTCAAACGAAGAAAAAAGATAAGATGAACAAAAAAAATGAGAACTAGGACTCAAATTAACAAGAATCAAAGAACGAAGAAAGAAAATTAAAAAAAAAACACGGAAAACTAGAAAACTAGACTCAACGAAAAAAACAAAAAGATATAACCTATTAATTGGAGTATGGGCTCTGATACCAACTGATGCGAACCCCGTAGCAGCGTTGACTACGAAACCCACAACTAGATTATTCCAAAGCCCAGAAAAGCCAAATAAAAGGTTTAGAGATTGAACCTTAAATTAATAAACCAACAAACCCAGCACGAACGTTGCTTGAAGAACCCCTTGATTACACAATCCAAGACCCGCACTCGATTTGTAGAACACCACAAGAATAATTCTTGATAAGTTCAGAGAGTTCAATTAAGAACAAGAAATGAAAGCAATCAGCCTTTCAATTAATTCGCAAAATAAAGTCTGGTCCTTTACATGGAATAAATAAACTTATATTTATACTAATCCTAGAATATAAGTTATAAAAGGAATAGAAATCTAAAATCCTAGAAAATATGGAAAAGATTAGTCACATATCATAAGAATTTGACTAAGAACTAAATTCTAACAATTATGGCAAAAAAAACACGAAAAAGGAAAATTTGCGTGTCGCCTAAGCCTGTGCGACCACATGGTTCTAGGACTTGCGGTCGCATGGTTCATTCAGCCACGCCTCTGGAGTCCCCTGTCAAGGTGCATGCGACCACATGCTTCACAATGCTAAGCGGTCGCATGGCATTGTGATTCGACCTGAACTTCGTCCACTAATATCTTATTGATCTAATTCACTTCGGCTCTCAACCCCAACATGAATGTTGCCTCGTTTTGCATTCCGAACATCGTCCCATCAATGATTTCTTGAATGAGCAATTCTGTTGCTTGTTTCACTTACTTTGCTCTTGATCGTGTCATCGGTCTACCTTCAATTTTCAACGGGTCTCGTCTGGAACTTGCCGTCTTCAAGCTTGATTCTTGGATCACATCAAATTGCTCTTGCCTCTTCTCTAATCTCTCTGGGCTCTGGGCCTACTGATTTTGAGGGAAGGAAATCGAAAGTGGGACTGATTCGAGAAACGAAAGCTTGCTACTAGCTGCCTGTTGGAGTGCTGATCGCTGGTCCTCTCACCTCTGCCGTCTGCGATCTGCGATCTGCCCTTTGCTGGCGGTAGTGGACTAATTTTTAGGGAATAATCTAGTTACGTGTTATATAGAGAATGCTCATTTGGGCTTTTTTTAATTTGGGCCTGATTTTATAAATAAAAAAATAGAGGCCCAACACAAAATCTAAAATTTGAAACTGCTGACCCAACAACCAAGTAGCCAACAACCAACTAAATCTGAAAACAAACCACTCTTGACGGTCGGCGATTCCGGCAAAGCCAGCTAGGGTGGCCGCCCTAGCAGGCCAATAGCTACATCCACTATTGTCCTTAATATTGGACTGTAACTAAGGTTTCGTGTTGTCCTACCTCAGCATATAGCTTTCCCTGTCTATGACTCCTGGCCATGATTTGTTGTGACCCTTAATAACGAAACCAACAAAGTTAAATTCAAAGGTACAAGAGTTATCATCAATAAGTTGGCACATAGATATCAAAATCTTTTTAAGCTTTGGCATTATTAGAACATTATTTAAAGAAAGTTTACCTTGAGATGTATTGATTGAGGAATTACACAAAGGGGAAATGGGTAAGGCTTGCCCATTATTGACAAAAATAGAATCATGTTCAAGATAAGGTGTTTAAAGTTTTAGTTTACCTCCTTGTTTTGTAGTGTGAGCTGTCGCACCAGAATCAACATAAAAAGTTCGAGTCTTACGTCATTTTTTTCAAATTCTTCGCAATCAAGGCCTTTTGATTGTTCTTGTTGTAGATTGACCTAAATTCTAGTGGATATTGGAGTTTTGGTTGAATTGGACTTGAAGAGAACAAAGTTATGGATTTGGAAAAAAAATGATGCCGCATTATCACTAAAGGGCTCGAGCAACGGCTACATATTTTCTCTCAAAACTTGTCGCTCGAGCAGTGGAGCTTCCGCTTGCCTATCACTAGCTTGTTGCTCGAGCGACAAGGTGCCAAGCTCATTTCATATTTTACACATTTTTTTTGAATTTCTGTTCATCTACAACTTGATTTTATATATATAAATCTTGTGTATAATGAAATTCTCTTCCATTTGCTTGTGGTTTTTCCCCAACTTAGGTTTCCACATAAATCTTGGTGTTCTTACTGTATCCCTATTTATTTCATTATTATCATAATCTTGCGCTCAGTTCATAACAGTTCTCATTGTAAGTGTAGTTATTCGTGTGAAACCCCGCAAGCGTACGGGTTCGTTGACAAGTAATAATTGTGATGAGTAAAGTATCGTCCCACAGGGAATAATGATTAATTCTAGGATATTTGATAAATTTGAATTCGTGTTTGTGACTAAAACTATCGAATGAATAGTTAACGGATTTTTAAAACTAAAATTTATAAAAGTAATGGAGGTTGATTTAAAACTCGAATATGCGAATGTATTGGATTTCAGACGCCATTGAGTAACGCTTAGTTCTAATTCTCAACTAGTGTCAATTATCTCAATTTATGCAATTGCGACGATCGATAATTCCACAATTATTTATTATTCTTTTCCAAGATATAATAAACCTATGTTTACCACGAGACGATCCTATTCCTAGTTCGAATTCATATGGCAAACATGCATTGACATTTAGGATTATCATATAAGATCGCACACGCCACAAATATTATTCCTAATATTTATTGCCCATGTGTCCCAATAATAGTGTTCTACTTATCGTGAGTTTTCCAACACTACGAATAAGCAACTTATTATCCTAATGGTGCGCAAACATTAGAACAATCTAATT